CACGTCTCCTACACGTCTCCTTCACGTCTCCTACTCGTCTCCTTCACGTCTCCTACACGTGGGTTCATTTGTTGGTCTTTGTCTCCGCAGGTTTTCACCTGGAGGGCCCGTTCATCAGCGTGGAGAAGAAAGGAGCGCACTCAGAGCAGTTCCTCCGCACCTTTCAGTCCGGAGGGATCGACGACCTGATGGAGACCTATGGCGGCCTGGACAACGTTGCCATGGTGACACTGGCTCCTGAGCTGGCCGGCAGCCAATCGGTGGTGAGGGAGCTCTGCCAGAGGGGCATCACCGTGTCGTTAGGTGAGCGGCGCTATCTGTGTCTGCGTGCACGTTAGTTTCGTGGTCGATCCTCACGTGTTTACTCTTGTTTGTCTCGTGCAGGTCACTCGGTGGCCAATCTGTCTCAGGCTGAGGACGCCGTTCACAGCGGAGCCTCGTTCATTACTCATCTCTTCAACGCCATGTTGCCTGTGAGTCCCACACACTCGTCTGTCAGTCTCTGTGCAGTCCACGAGTTCCTGTACGAGCTCGTCCCTCTGAACGAAGAGCTGCGTCCTCGTGGCGTCAGTGTGGACGGACAGTTGTGGCGCCTGAACACGTTTAGAGAGTCGTCATGTGAACCACGGCTCTAAACAACGTTAAAATCTATGGTGACGGACGAAACGACTTTGAGACGACAGATTTAAGACCCAGTGACCAGAACGTGTGCGACACTGTGGTAAAGTGGGCGTCACTGTCTCACCAAGAAGGTTCCCAGTTCAGTGTGAGTGTGTGAAGTGACCGTGCTCCGGTTTCCTCCCAGAGCTCAAATGTGATTTGTGTTTGATCCAGTTCCACCATCGGGACCCAGGTATCGTGGGTCTGCTGACCAGCGACCAGGTGCCTGCAGGCAGGACGGTGTTTTACGGCATGATCGCTGACGGGATCCACACCAACCCTGCCGCTCTGCGTATCGCCCACAGAGCTCACCCCTCAGGTCAGAGAACACTCGTCGTTTCAGCGTGAAGAGAACGACCGAGCTCCGGTTGTTTAGTGTGACGGAGATGATGATTCACACGTTTACAGTCCTGGTTTGTTTGAAGACATGAAGAAACTCCTTAAGACAAATAACCTGGATCGCCCCCTGGTGTCTGGCTGCAGTACAGTTCGTAAACCTCCTCCTCCATGTTAGCAGACGGGACATGAACCAAACTAAAACTCAAAGTAGACGTTAAATAAATGTTTGTAAAGATGTTTGTTCGAGTTTCGGATCAGTTTGGTTCAAACAGTTATTGATTGATATAAAAACAGGCGGAGACGTGATGATTGACAGCTGACACTGACTCAGGATTTGTCAAACGCTTGTTTGGGGCGGGACCTCAGAGGACAGCGTCACGTCTAAAATATTTTGGCTTCATGTGTTTCCAGGTCTGGTGCTGGTGACGGATGCGATCGCAGCGATGGGTCTCCCCCCCGGGCGTTACAAACTGGGTCATCAGGACATCGAGATCCAGGGTCTCCACGCTTACGTGGCAGGTCTCACTTTATTTTCACTTTTGAAATCATCCAATCCGTGATGTTTTGATGAAATGAGACAGGATGTGTAACTTCTCTCCGTCTCTGTCCGTCAGACACGAAGACGCTCAGCGGCAGCATCGCCTCCATGGACATGTGTGTGCGACACTTCAAACAGGCCTCAGGTCAGTTTGAGCCACTCGGGTTTCTCATCAGCTGGAATTTCCATCAAGTTTCACTGTGAACCTCAGAAACTCATGATCCTCTGTTCTGAGAGTGTGTGTGTGTGTGTGTGTGTGTGTGTGTGTGTGTGTGTGTGTGTGTGTGTGTGTG